CTTCTAGCAAGGGAGTTCAGACATATACACAGAACACAGTTGGTATCTGTGCAAGGCAGTGTGTGATACTAGTTCCAAAGTTAACTGGTAAGAGCTCTACATTTCCCAAATGTATTTTGCACTTAAATATTTCACCAAAAGAGCATTCTTGCATCCAGCATCAGGCTGTTGCAGTACACACAGCTTCTTCAGCTCCAGCTCCCCTTGGCACTGCGCAGGGGAGAGGGCTGGGGACTTTTCCTTGGGTGCTCTTTCCAGCTGTAGAGGTACTGGCTGCTCCTTCTATCTGCTATTCCTGTACTCTGTAGAGTTCCCTGTACTACTTACTAGGCAATGCCTTGTTACTACAGCCCTCTGTTATGATTAATAAGTCTTTATATTAATCATACCCTGTTCAAACTGTTGGTTTCTCTCTCCTAGTTGGGCCCAGACTGATACATCTGGTTTCTATGTATTCTTGGGGGTGGGGTAGGGAGGTGCGGGATTTTAACCATGCTTTGCATACAGTTTTGTACTCTTCAAGGAATGCTTTCTCATACATTTTCCCCATGTTATTATGTAGATAGTTTCCAAAGGGCAATATTGGAAAAAATTCTGATCCCTTTGCTGAGTAAGTAAATCTATAATTCCAGAAAGGAAATATAAATATTTGGATAATAAATAAGTGAAAAAAGGAGAGAAGCTTCTGTGATTCTTGTTTTAATTTGTGTATGATTTAAGATTCTTGAAATGGCCAAGATAATCTAATTTATACATTTATAAGTGTAGGTAATTTATAACAGTAGCTTAAATGCTTAGAAAAATCTTGCTTTTTAGAGTTTAACTCTGCCCTGGGTTTTTTAAATGTTTGAGAAAATCAGACATTTAATTTATATTTATAATCTGAAATATCTAAGGAAAATTGATTATGGCTATAAGTCTGTTAAATATTTAAGAAGGACTGAATCTACTAAATTTAAGAATTCAACAGGTAATCAAAGTATAAGTAAAAGTGATTGTTCTTATCTTTATATGAAAAATTGTTAGATTTATAATGGAATAACAAGAGTTGTAAATTGAACTTAAAGCCTTTAAGAACAGCTAGTTTTTTTTTCTTTGATTTTTTTGAATTGAAGTATAGTTGATATACGAAATTATATTGGTTTCAAATATATACCATGGGGATTCACCAGTTGCATACATTATTAAATGATGACCCCAACTAGTGTATTTACTATCTGTCAACAAGAAAGGTGTTACAGAACTGTTGACTATATTCTCTATGCTGTACTTTTATCTCTGTGACAAATTTACATTATGACTGAGATTTTGTACCTCTTTATCCCTTTTACCTATTTCATCCACCTACCTCAACCCCTCCCCCATGGAGACCACCAGTCACCTCTCAGTGTCTGTGAGTCTGTTACTGTTTTGTTCATTTTCTTTTTGGATTCCACATAAAAGTGAAATCATATGGTATTTGTCTTTTTTTCTGCCTGGCTTATATCACTTAGCATAATACCCCCTAAGTCTGTTGTTGTTGCAAATGTCAGGATTCCCTTTTTTTGGCTGAATAATGTCCCATTGTGTATATGTACCACATCTTCTTTATCCATTTATCTATTGATGGACACTTCAGTTGCTTCCATATCTTGGCTATTGTAAATTAATGTAGTAATAAATAAAGGGGTGCATATATCTTTTTGAGTCAGACATTTTGTTTTCTTTGGGTAAATTCTTAGAAGTGGAGTTCCTGGCTCATACAGTATTTCTATTTTTAGTTTTTTAAGGAAACTCCATACTGCTTTCCATAGTGCCTGCACCAATTTGCATTCCCTCCAGTGGTATAGGAGGGTTCCCTTTTCTCCACATCCTCATAGACACTTGTTATTTCTTGTTTTTTGGATAGTGGCCATTCTGACTGGTGTGAGGTGTAATCTCATTGTGGTTTTGATTTGCATTTCCCTGATAAGCAACGTGGAGCATCTTTTCATGTGCCTTTTGGCCATCTGTATTTCTTCTTTGGAAAAGTCTGCTCTGGTCCTCTGCCCATTTTTCAATCATGTTACTTGCTTATTTTGGTGTTGAGGCATACAAGTTCTTTCTTTGTTTTGGATGTTAACCCCTTATCGGATAAATCATTTACAAACATATTCTCCTATACTTCAGGTTGCCTTTTTGTTTTGTTGATGGTGTCCTTTGTTGTACAGAAGCTTTTTAGTTTGATGTAGTCCCCCTGGTTCATTTTTGATTTTGTTCCCTTTGCCTGGGGAGATGTGTCCAAAAAAAATTGCTCATGCTTACGTTCAAGAGATTTTTGCCTGTTTTCTTCTAAGAGTTTTATAGTTTTTAGGTCTTTAATCCATTTTGAGTTTACTTTTGTGTTTGGAGTTAGTGATCCAGTTTCATTCTCTTACATGTAGCTGTCCAGTTTAACCAACACCAGTTATTAAAGAAACTGTCTTTTCCCCATTGTATATTTATGGCTCCTTTATCATATATTAATTGACCACATATTTGTGGGTTTATTTCTGGGCTTGCTATTCTGTTCCATTGATCTGTGCTCCTGTTTTTGTGCCAGTACCATACTGTTTTGATCACTGCAGCTTTGTAGTATACCTTGAAGTCAGGGAGTGTAATAAACCCAGCTTAGTTCATATGATTGCTTTGGCTATTCAGGGTTTTCTGCCATTGTATATGAATTTTAGGATTATTTGCTCTAATTCATTGAAAAGTGCCATTGTTTTTTTTGATAGGGATTATATTGAATTTTTTTGATAGTATTAAGTCTTCCTATCCATGAGCATGGGATAGATTTCCATTTATTTGTGTCTTCTTCAATTTTTATCAGTATCTTCTAGTGTTCAAACTACAGGTCTTTCACCTCCTTGGTTAGATTTATTCCTAGGTATTTTATTCTTTTTGATGCAATTGTAAATGGAATTTCTGAATTCAGTTTACTAATATTTTAAGATTTTTGCATCTATGTTCATCAGGGATATTGGTCTATAATTTTCTTTTTTTGTAGTGTCTTTGTCTGATTTTGGTATTAGAGTGATGCTGGCCTCATAGAATTAGTTTGGAAGTATTCCCTCCTCTTCTATTTTTGGAATACTTTAAGAAGGATGGATGTTAGGTCTTCTTTAAATGTTTGGTATAATTTACCTGTTAAGCCACCTGATACTGGACTTTTATTTTTTGGAAGATTTTGTTACTGGTAATCTGTTCATATTTTCTGCATTAGTCTTGGAAGATCGTATGTTTCTAAGAATTTATCCATTTTTTTCTAGGTTGCCTAATTTGTTGACATATACTTTTTCCTAGAATTCTCTATAATTCTTTGAATTTATGTGGTGTCAGTTGTAACTTCTTTTTTGTTTGTGATTTTGTTTATTTGGGTCCTCTCTTTTTTTCTTGATAAGTCTGGCTAGGGGTTTGTCTGGTTTGTTTATCATCTTGAATAACCAGCTCTTGGTTTCATTGATTTTTTAAAAATTGTCTTCTTATTCTTTATTTTATTTATTTCTGCTCTGACCTTTATTATATTCCTCCTTCTGCTAACTTTGGGGGCTGTGTATGTTCTTCTTTTTTTAGTTCCTTTAGTTGTGAGATTAGATTGTTTATTTGGGGTTCTTGTTTCTTGAGATAGGCCTCTATTGCTCTTTACTTCCCTCTTAGAACTGCTTTTGCTGCACCCAACATATTTTGAACTGTTGTGTTTCTGTTTTCATTTGTTTCCATGTATTGTTTGATTTTTTTCTTTGCTCATTGATCCATTGATTATTTAGAAGCATGTTGTTTAGCCTCCATGTATTTGGGGTTTTTTGGTTTTTTTCATATAATTGATTTCTACTTTTATACCATCATCATGGTCTGAAAAGATGCTTGATACAATTTCAATCTTTTAAAATTTATCGAGGCTCTTTTGGTGTCCTAATATGTGATCTGTTCTGGAGAAAGTTCCATGTGTACTTGAGAAATATGTGTATCCTGCTGCTTTTGGGTGGAATGTCCTCTAAATATCTGTTAAGTCCATCTGGTCTAATGTGTCATTCAGTGCCTCTGTTTCAAGAAAAGCTAGGTTTTAAAATGGGCAACTTGCATCAGTAACTGAAATGAATGTTAATTCATTTCCTTACCCAAACCTACCCCCAGATATTTAAAATTACAGATCCATAACCCCCAACTTTATAGTTCTGGCTGAGACTTCTCTGAACTCCAGATAGTAATATTCAGCTCTTTGCTTAGAATGTTCCAGAATTACAATGTCCTAAGCATTTTGCTTAGTATGCATCATAGACCAAGGTATTCAAGTTAGAACCTTTCTTCTGACACCTGAATCCATAAACTGTGTAACCTGTACTACTACCCTTGATTCTTGCTTCCTCGCACTCCACTCCAAGCCAACCCATCATCAAGGCACTTTCTTCTACTTCCAAAAGATATTTAGGGTCTGTCCCCTTTGCCTCTTTTACTATGGCCAGCAGCCCAGCCCACGTCCCCATCATATTCTGCCTGAGCGTCTACACAAATCAAACCATACCACACCCTCCTTAAAGCCCTTCCCCAGCTTCCCAGTGCCCCTTTCATCTCTTTGCCCTGTTCGCCTTGCCTCAGTCTGTTATTCTTCCTTAAATTCCTCAAATAAGCCAAGTTCCTTCCTACCCGCAGTTCTTCGCATTTATAGTTCCTTCCATTTGGAACGCTGTTCCACCTGCTTTTCTCATGGCTGGCTCTATCCTTAAAGTCTTAATTTAAATGTCACCTCCCCAGATTAAAAGAACTTGTCCTCTACCCCTGCCCATCTCTGTTTCTCCATTCAGTGTCTTTTCTTATTAGCATTCATCACAATATGCAATCACTCCATTTTATTATTACTTTTTTCTCATGTGACTGTCTCACAACACTGATTATCGAGTTCTGGTGGCTGACAGAGTGGAGACCCAGCAAACAGTTTTTCAATAAATATACCCAACTACACCAAGATACTGAAAAAAAATTAAAAGATACAAAGCTGTATATAGAGTGTAAATTCCATTTGTGTTTATTAAAATTTTTATACACACTTATACACCCACACATATTAAGGACAAACAAGAAAGTAGTCATTGTGGTTGCCACTCTGGTCAGCACTGAGTCAGAGGAGGAAAGGTAGGATGATATCAATTTTATAATCCTTTTTCCTATTTGGATGTTTTACTATGTGCCTATATTTTATAATAATGATAAGAAAACTACCATGTTTTATGCTGTTATTAAGTAGGAAATTTGCAACATCAAAACAGTGGGAAGAATCTCAGAATAAAGGACAGTCATGGAATAAATGGAATAAATTTAGCTTTGTGAAAAACCTCCAACATTGTCCTTATTGCCCTCATTCCACTGAGGACCTGTGAAAGTGTCCTCTGACTCTCTGGCCCTGGTCTGAGCCTGGCTCTTGACAGGCATTATATCTATTGCACCATGGACAAAAGCCAAGGAGCTGGACTCAGAAGCACAGCTCGGCCACTTTACTAGCTATAGTTACAATACTTAAACTATTTGAGCCTTGGTTTTTCACATTTTTTAAATGGGATGATAATCATATTTCTCATATAGGGCTATTGTGAAGATCAAATGTGATGTAAAGCACTTAGCACAGTGTCTTGCACATGGCAAATGCCAGATAAGTGGTGGTTATTTCATCCATTACATGCTGACACCCCAAGCTTCCCACTGCAAACGAGTTCAGGTTTCTGCATGTTAGGGCAGGAGACATCATATTGCAAGATGGCAGGGTGGTATTGCTTATCTGCCAATAGTTCAGATGCCACATAGGCAGTCTCCATATTCATCTGTACAGCAATGATTGGGAAAGTATTTGATTATTTTACTACATCTTAATTTTATCTTATAAAATGGTGTGAAAGGAAAAAATAAAAGTACCAATAACCATGATAAGTAGTATGTGTATATCAAGAAAGTGAGAAGACAACCTACAGAATGGGAGAAAATGTCTGCAAATCGTATCTGATAAGGGATTTGTATTCAGAATATATAATGAACTATTATAATCAAATAATAAAAAGATAAAGAAGCCAGTTAAAAAGTGGAACTCTGCAGCTGTAGGAATGAAAGAACTTTAGCAAGGTCTTCTCCCAGAACCTAGACAATCCCAGAATTCAGACCTCTGCTTCTCAGGCTGAGTGATAGGCCAATAGTTGGGGAGCTTAGCTCCCAGCTCCAGCAAAGGCAGACCGCCATCTCAGGCAGGAGCTGGCAGGAGCTCAGATTCTCCTTCAGTTCCAAGTAGCTCATGAACAAAGGCTGTAAAGTTGCTAAGAAACCTGCTTTCCTGAGGGTTCACCTCGTGTTCTTTCCTTTCTATGGCATTTGTGTGTGTGTGAGCACACTGAAGGCCACCACCTTACCAGCCCTGAAAAAAGCCAGACCTCAAAGGCAAGAACTGCAGGCTGCCTGGGGCACCATCTTGACCCCAAGTATTGCCAAGCCAGGCAGCTCACCCATTGCTGGGAACAAAAGAGGAGCCAGTTGCCTGGCGCCAGAAGTTGGCAGAGGTCTGCACAGCTGTGTGAAAGATGCACTGCCTCCCAGACCCAGTCAGGCAAAAGCCCTGAAACTTTTGGGAAAAACTATTTTTATGGTCATTCTCTTTTACTTGTAGGGGGGGAAACGCCAACAGCAGAACCAGGAGGGAATCCCCCTCCCATCCCCTGGCTGAGCTTGGAAAATAAATCCTCAACAGGATCAGGGCCATTGCAAAATACTAGATACAAAATTACAGAACTGTGAGTTCCGGCTGACCATGATCTAATTAGCTCCCCTCTAACCCATTGTCTTATAAAGAATATGAGGCCTGGGAGGGAAGGGACTTTCTGGGTGGGGGGGGGGGCACATACTATTTAACAAATGTAGTTGCACTGTCTTTCAAAAGGTCTACGGCTGTGAGTGGAGGGAAAAAAGGCTGAAAGTGTAATTAGAAACTCTATTATTCATCTGTTTGTCCATTCAGCAAATACTTATCAAGCCCTTACTAAGTGCCAGGAGCCAGAAAGCCCAGTCCAAACTAAAAGCAAAGAAAAAGTAAATTCAAAACTTTAAATCCAAGTTCTCTGACTCTGCTTCACAGTAAGTAAGCACCAGCTGTAGGGCTCCTGTCTGTCTAGCCAAGTGCTGTAGATCCCTGGGGCTCTCCTCTGACCTGCAGGCTTGGGAGGATGAAGAGCTAAACTGGATGAGAAATGTAATCCTCTCATCCTCCCACCTGCTCCAGGGAGGAAGGACCTTTCCTGCTAGCAGTCAGCGATCCTAGGCAGCATCTGAGGGCCAGCTGCCCTATATTTGTTTCTAACTCTGTAGGCCCTAGGTGCCGATGATCTGCCCAGATCCTTGAGCATGTCATTCCTGGCTCTAGATATTAGCCAAGGGCACATCAAATACCCTCACTCTGCCCAGTTAAAAAACATCATAATGGTACCTACTGCTTTTAAAGATCAGAGAAACTCCTTGCCATGGCCCACAAAGCCCTACAGGTCTGGCTTCTGCCTATCCCCTCCTTTCCATTTCCACTTTCTCTCCCACTCTGCTCCAGCCTCACTGACCTTCATTCATAACTGCTATGATCCCTCCACAGGGACTTTGCACATGCTGCCCCTACACATGGAATGTTCCTCCTTTTTTTTCCTTATAAATGAGTTAAATCATTTTAAAGAAACCACTACTATTTTTAGAAGAAAATTATCTTATTCATGGGTGGTAATAGATTTTTAAAACAAAAGTAATGGAAGTTACAACAGAAAATATCCATCTTCTGGTTCCAGGGCCCAAACCTGCCCATGGCCAATGAGGATTCCCTTTCTGTTAATCAGCCCTCTCCAAGTCATGGTCCACAGCGCGCTCTGAGGGACAGCACCAGCAGGTGGCTTGTGCTCGTCGCCTGCAGCCCCAAACCAAGACTTAACCTGAGGATCATTGAGAGCCGGGAGCATCCTCCAAAAACTTCCCATTTTACTGCGGAAAACCGAGGCCTGGATGGGGGCAGGATCTGCACAAGACATCACAGTCTGTTGCAGAGCTGGGCAGTCAGTGCTCTACCAAATGGTATTCCACAAATCTAATATTTATAAACATCAAAATGTTTTGGTAACCAGGGACTTGTGACCGTGTTAGCATCAGATATAAGGTAATTGTAGCTCATACTGTCACTGCGCTCCTGGAATCCTCCACTCCTGGTGTCTTCTGCTTTGTGGGCTGCGCTGCTTAGAGCTCTGCATGCTCACCTCCCTCTGTGCTGCCAACAAAAGAACTCCTTCTGGCCTCAGGGCCTTTGTACTCACTCTTCCCTTGCCTGGAACATTTCACCCAAACTACCTCTTGGCTCACACTGCCTCATGTCTTTCAGCTTTCACACTGAGGCATTCCCTGACCACCCTACCTAATGTTGCTCTCTACCCCAGTCTCCCAAATAACCTGTTTTATGTCCTCACGGTCCTGTTCACACTGGACGTTGTTCATCCTGCTCAGTTGTTTTGGTCTGCCTTCCTCTCTAGAATGATGGCTATAGGCAATTTGTCCAATGCGCAGCACAGGCCCTTGGATCTAAGTAGGTGCTCAGTGAACATGCAGGTTACAATGGAGTGGGGCACGGCACATGACAAGGAACAAAGGGAAAACCACGTTTGAGAAAGTCTGCAGGTTTACTCCACAACAATCACAACTGTACATGGTCAGTCAGTTCTTCACACAGCTCACTTTCCCAGGTGGGAGGAGAGAGGTTGGCTGTCTTGAGCTTTTCCTATGGGATGCCAGTCTGCCTCCTCAAATATCCCTGCCTGTAATCCCTTTGGGATCCCAGTCTTCAAACCAGTAACAGAGCAGGAGCCCAACCCTGCTGTTTGGCATGACCAAATCAAAGCCCCTGGGCAGCAGATGTTAAGAGGACCTTGTCACTTGGAATGTAGGTCCAACTCCTGCGGAAGTGGGCCTTGGCTCAAGATCAAGCTTGAAATAAAATATCACTTGGATTTTCACAAAGAGCATCATTTAAAAGCAGAAAAGAATTCCAGAAGAGAACTGCATTCCTTGCCCACCTCCTGCACTTAGAAGTCTTCAGAAAACATTAAAAATGCATTGTCTCCTAGGAATTATAAAAGATCACCCCATCTGTACAAACCATGGATCACTGAATCCAGATCTCTCAGGTGCTACTGTAAAGTGCTTTGCTACTCACTTGAGACTCCAGAGACTACAAAAATGGAGATGCATGAAAAGAAATAGGGAGCCATTTTCAAGAACATCACCTGTTTCTTCAAGAGAAAAAGAAATTCAACAAGTAGGAGGTCTGGAAAGTGGATAGAGTGTGGGCTTTGGGGAGCCAGCTGCTACCTCATCCACAAGAACTGCCCCCTCCCCGTACCTGACATCACCTTCGCCATCAGACCTCCCTGTGGCTCTACCCCCTTGGGCTTCTGAGCTGTTAAAGGGGAAAATCAACAGTTCCCAGACCATTTCCAAAGCTGAAAGCTCTGACTGAAGGCAAAAGGTGGAACAGCTTTTCACCCATGTGCCTGTGTGTTTATCCACAAAGGCCTTGTACTTAGAGCAAAGATGGTCTTTGCATTCCAAAACGTTCCGGAGCCTCCTTTTGGAAATGCTGCTTGTAGGCCACATGGTTCTAACTTTCTAGCCACATCCTGTGGTGTAGCCTCATGCTCAGAAATAAAGGCTTTAGAGGACAAGGGGCCCGCATCCTCAGCCATTACCCGGATGACAGCATCTCCACAGGCTCCTGGTTGTCTTATTAAGCTTCAGTTGGGGGTTTGAGCAGGAACCCAAATTCTTGAGACAGGTGGTTTTCAAAAGTGAGGCCAAAATTATGAGTGGCCAGTATTTGCCGTCAGTCGGTCAGCTAAGTAATGAACTTTTTTCCTTCCATCCCCTCCCTCACACTTTGTAAAATCCCAGCACCTACAGATTCAGGCTTAGCAATTACAAAGGCCAGAGTGCTCGGAGAACCTGCCTGTCCCTTTTGAGGTTGGAAAACACAGTCAAAGGAGAACCAGAGCATGGGGAAGATGGGGGCTGAGGACTGCTTGTGGCTTGTTTTGTACGAGCCTGCTCTTGCTGAGAACACTGTCACTCTCTTGGAATGAGACCACTGGGAAATCTAGCTGGTGCTCTGTGCTCCATCTGGGGGCTCAGATGGGGGACTGCAGGCATGGCCTCCAAACAAGGCCGTCTCCCGGGGACTGCTGAGGCCCCTGGGCCATGGACTAAATGGACTAAATGAGCTGTCCAGTTGCCCTTTGAGTCTGGAGGGCTACCTGCACTAGCTGGTACGACTTCTGGCCTCTGGCCCTTGAGGGGCCTCTGTCTCAGATCCTGTTGTAGGCCCAACGCCTCCTGCTTGAAATTAGACATTAAGAAATACACACTCACCCCATAGGAACTGCACACACCACCCAAACTGTTACCCCTCCCCCCAACCCTGTCCCTTTATGTTTGTCCAGCAAGGCACTAGAAAATTGTTCAAGTTTAGGAATTTGCTGTACATTTGCATTTTCTCTTTTTAAAGGCACAGTGTTTATTTTAATGCGGCTGCATTGCTCTCTGATGATGCATCCTACCTAACTCATTTCTTCCAACTGCAAAACTCTTGTTATCCCAGATTCTGGAAGAGGCCTCCTCATCTTTGGACTCCTCCCTATAGAGGGCCATTTCTCAAAGTAGAACACTTGTTTGGGAAAGACACTAGGGATCAACAAGAAAGCTTTTCAAGTGCAGGAACCACCTCTCCTATGGACAGGTAGCCAGAGCAAGGCTCACGCTGGGGCAGAAGTGGAGGTAATGCTTTGCCAGCTACACAATTGAGGGTGGTGGTCGGGAGTGTATACTGCCCTCGCAGATAACTGATGGCCTGGAGATCAGCCAGCTTCTCAAAGGCAGATTTGTGGCTCTGTTCCCAGATTTATGACTCGGTTATTTAACTGGTAAATGACAGAATCGAAAGACCCAACACTAATGGAAATACTCATAAGTATTTCCTGGGCTAGCTGGTGGAAGTCATAGGTGGTAGAATGCAATTTCCATTTCTGAATCAGTGGGTGGCAGGCTGGTTACAGAAATGCTTTCTATTAATCTGGGAGCCCTCTGGGACTTTCACACATAATTAACAGCAAAAGGTAAACAAGAAGGACTGGCATGGACCTGGGTGTCCATCTGTTCCTGGTATGCACGGTCCTTCCCTCCACTGTGGCTCTGATGATGGCAGGAGGTCGCGCTGCTGCGGGTCTGCACTGAGGACCGTGTCATACCAAGAACTCTGGTAGGACTGATGACACAGGTCCCCTGCCCCCTCCCCCAACGCCACCAACTTGGATTTCACAGGTTGTCTCTAGACTGGGGGCTGCCTTGACTGTATCACACAAGTCCGGCCCCTTGAATCACAGCATTCTAGAAATCCACATGGAATGCCAGAATAACAGAATCCTATGGAGCACTCTAGCTTGTGATCCAATGATGAAGTTCATTAAAAATTCTAGAGCTCTCTTTGAGAACTAGAACCACAATGAGGTCAGAAGCCAGGCATCTTCCCCATGGCCCACCCCAGGGCCTCCAGACTTTGGGAGGCGAGCATTTCACACCTCTGCTCCTCTCCTGAGGCAGGTAATTGCTAGAGAGAGAGAAATGGAGAGAGAAATGGAAGCACTGATCAGGGGAATTCAGCCAGATTTCTAGTCTGGAGGTCTTTTCTAGGCCTTTTCCACGGGCCTGAGGCCATCTGAAATACACCCTGAAAAGCTGGTGGCTGAACTGTCCTTGGGCAGAGGGCACTCACCTGGGCATCTAAGTGCTCAGAGAGCCCAGAGAGCAAGGGGGGGACATCCTGTATGTCCGCAGAGGCAAAGGCATGCCTGGGGGTCCCACGTCTGACCCCAGGCCTGGCAGCTGGCCTGTGTCCAGCAGTGAACGCTCCTCGAGGGTCCCAGGTGTGGCCTTTGACCACATCACCTGAGGCTGTGACAGAGAGCAGAAGCTGGGCAGGAACTGTGGTTACTCCAGGACGGGCAAAAATGAAAAGGCTGAACAGCGGCCCTGAGAAAGACCTCCTTCCCTGTGCTGCAGACAGGCGGTGCTGGTGCACACAGCTGCCCCCGCCACCCCCCACAAACCGTGCCTCCCTTTCTAAGGGACCATCATGTATGAGCCACTTGAAGGCTAGGCAATCCTGCAGGATTCATTCCTGGATGGCCTAGGGCTGCCCTGGCATTCCTCGCACATCATGCTCAAGGGAACATGGTGACAAAGTTGCAAATGCCCTCCTCCTGGATTTCCAAGATGCCATCAGGGGCTGGAGCAGGCTCTGCTCTCCCGTGGAGCTCCTTGTGGGGTCTGCTCTCCCACCCCACCTGCGGAACTCAGGGCCTCAAGAACCAGGCAGACACTCTGCTTCAACTTCAAGAGCCTTCTTCGCCCTGAACTAGTTGGCCAGCACCTTTCACACTGTGGGGCCCCGGGAGCCCTGCCCCCCTCGGGAGAGGAAGGCTCAGGGAGTGCCAGAGAAGACCCTGCCAGGCCTATTGGGGAGGCGTGAGGGCTCAGTTTCTATTGAATATTTCCAAGACTGTTGAGTTGGTGTGTTCGAACAGCCACTGCTGGGTGCGAGAGGAGGGGTTACAGGTGTTCATGAAGATCCTGTGGTCGCTCTCACTGCAATCCACGCAGCTGCCGCTGACGGGGTGGTACAGGGTCTTGTCCTACAAGACAGGGAGGTGATCAACCAGGCGGGACGGGGAGGCAGACAGAGAGCAGCAGCAGTAAGGGCGCTGAGGCAGTGAGGTGGTGGCGGGCCTGCCACTCACAGACCTGGCTGGCTCTCCTGCTGAGCACACAGTGAGACATGCCTGCCTCCCCTGCATCTGGCATGGCCGTGTGCCTGAGCTCTGCCCAACAGGATGCGGGCAGAAGCTAAGTTTGCCCCTTTCGGGCCTGGGACCTAATCACTCACTACCTGTCTCTGGTCAAATCTCTTTGGTTCTCATGGTAATTTTGTTGTTTTAAAAAATGAATTCAGTTGCTAACATTTAAGATTCTAGAAATTTTGCATAAAATTCTGGATGCCTGGCTTCTCCGGTGTGGCTGGGAAGTTGGGCATAGTCGATCTGTGGAACAAATGCACGAGTGAGGGGCTCCGCTGGGGAGAATGGGGCCCTACTCTGTTTGCCCCTGTTGTTTTAAGTCAAGCAGGTCTTACTTTGCGGTATTTCCACAGCTGGTTGCCCTTCATGCTGTGGCAGTCGTAGAGGGTGACTGGGCTGGTGCGGGAGACGGCGTCCAAACAGAACTTCTTGGTGTGCTGGGGGTCTCCGGGCCGGATGTCCTCTCTCCAGGTGAAGGTGAACACCTGCACACACAGGGACATCACAATGCGGCTGGCAAAGCAAGGGGGCTTTAATTTTAAACACAGAGATCCAAAAAAATTATATGGGCCACACCTGTTCCAATCAGCTTCAGCAATTAGCAGCCACCATTGCCCCCATCCCCACCTTGTTTTGGAACAAATCCTAGACAGAGTATCTTATCAGATGTAAATACCTCAGTAAGCGCCATCCTAACAATGAAAAGGCACCACAAAGTCCCTGGTGTCACCTAACATCTAGAGTTCAAGTGTTCTTGGGCTGCTTTCTAAGTTTCTTTCACGGTTAGTCTGTTTCTGTCCAGATCCAATCAGGTTCGCATACTGCATTTGGTTAATAAGCTTTCTTTCCCCCCAGCAGCTTTACTGGAGAACGACTCACATGCAATAAACTGCACCCACCTAAAGTGCATGATTTGATGTATTCTGACAAATGTTTATGCCTGTAAAACCATCACTATCACCGTCGAGGTGATGAACACATCCTTCACCCCAAAAGTGCCCTCACGCCCTGTTGTAATCGCTTCCTCCCGGCCCTCCTCACACCCCAGTCGCAAAAAAGTTTGTGATTTTTAGAATTTTAGATGAAAGGAATCATAGAGCATATATTTTTCTTTTCACTCAACATGATTTGCCGAGAGGCCCGTGGTCTGGCAGCCGTCATCAGCAAGTCGCTCCTGTTACTGCCGAGGCGTCTGTCACCGTGGGGTCCTCCACGCGGCTGCTCTTGCATCTTCGGGTTGTTTCCAGTTTTTGCTTATCACAAATAAAGCTTTTAGCAACATTTGTGTACCAGTCACTGTGTGGATGTATACCTCCTTTTCTCTTGGATGAATACTTAGGAGTGGGCTGGCCAGATCAGTGTTTAACTTCGAGGAAACTGCCAAACTGTTCTCCAAGCAGTGTGTGCCGTTCACATTCCCCCCCGGGGTGTACAGTTCCACTTCATCTACATCCTTGCTAACCCCTGTAGGGTCCGTCTTTTTAATAGGTCATAATTTTAATTTCCATTTCTCTAATAACTAATGAAATTAAGCATTTTTGATGTTGTGTTTGACTTTGATACTGAGTTTTGAGAGTTTTATGTTTTAGATACATGTCCTTTACCACATATATGCTTTGTAAACATTTCTTCCCAGTCTGTGGCTTTCTATTTTCTCAACAGTATCTTCTAAAGGAGAGAAGTTTTCATTTTGAAGAAATCCAATTTATCCATGTTTTCCTTTTATGAATTGTGTTTTTGGTATTTTATCTAAGAAATCATTGCTTAATCCAAGGTCACAAGTGCTTTTGCCTATGTTTTCTTCCAAAAGATTTTTAGGTTTTATATTTAGGTCAGTGCTCCATTTTGAGTTAATACATATGGCATGTATTGAAATATTGAAATCTTTTTTTTCTGTATATGGATATCCAAGTATTATACCATGTATTGAAAATTATGATCTTTTCTCCATTGAATTGCCTTTAAACCTCTGCAAAAAATTGGCTGCCCATATCTGTATGGGTCTAGTTCCGGATTCTGCATTCGCTTCCACTGGGCCTTATGCCAGTGCCCACTCCCTTGACGGCTCCCTCTCTCCTCGCAGGCGGTTCTTCCTCCAGCCCCCGGAAGTCTCCTCACATGTTCGCACTCATCAATACTCTGCCGAGAATCTGAGGGGCATCCCAGGAGTCTCAGAAGCCCTCTCTGTCTAGCTCTCTCCTCTCCCATATTCTGTTTTGTGAATTCTAGCCGCAGTCTCCTTGATTCACCGAGTCAGGCTGGCTACCCCGAGGCCCCCTGCCCTGTGTGCTGGAAACTCTCTCCAGGAAGGAAGCTGGGACAGTGGCAGGGCCCTGCCTGTTTGCTCCCTAACGCTCAAGGGTCACCCTGCTGGCTGATGTCTGCTTTCTTGCAAGCAGTTGTTTCACATCTTGTCTATTTTTTGGTTGTTTCTGGCAGGAGAATAAACCCAGCCCCTGCCTCCTACTCGTTTATTTCCCAGGCCTCCTCCAGCTCAGGAGCTGTATTTCAGACTCATTTCTCCCTTCATGGGCCCACTAGAGCTCTCCATTCAGGGTGGTTCAGGTCCCCGGGCGTAGAGCCCACTGGGGCTTCCTATGGCACAGCCTCCAGGTGCCATCTTGCTGCTCCTCTGGATGAATCCTCAGGCCTACCTGTGGACCCTGCCCTACAGTGAGGCTCCTCTGAGGCCGAGCTCTCCGGACACATTCTCTCCAGGCTCCATGCTCTTCTGCTCTCCTTTGGGGTCCTAGGATGGGGAGCAGCACACAGTGCTTTGGAGAATGCAGAAGAATCAGTCAGCGAGAGCTTCCCTATCAACTCTGCTAAGAATCGTTACCATCTTAGCATCTGCCTACTCAGAACCGTCACCCCAAAAGGATGAGGGAGAGGGCGCAGCATTTCCGATGGGGGCAGGTGCCATCGGGCTGCATGCTGTGCCCGCAGGCAGTGGTGTCCATTCTCAGTGAGTGTGCCATGTGCCCCTTCTAACTTCTGTTTCTGCATAGGCTTATGTCAGCACACACTTCTAAAATGCCAGAAAACCCACAATAAGGAGACTATAAAAATGTATCCTCGAGCCAAGAGTCAGTGGATGCTATGTGATGTAACCTTGGGGCTAAGGGCTTGGAGGAAGGGATCATGGAAAGCTAAATGCAGTTTCCTGAGAGGGGTGGCTTTCCCACATGCCTGGCTGGTACTCATTCTTCCAACAGCATCTCTTGGGGAACTAACCCTCTCTCACTCTTCTCCCCATCTTTCAGGAGAGGGTGACCATACCCCAGTCCCTCCGAGGGCTGAGTGACCCAGGCCTGCTCAACAACATGACTCTATCACATCCCCATCATAATTGGCTCAGGAAACCAACATTTGGGAGTGTCAGGGCTTTTCTGGAACCCCTGGAGGGGACATGGCTTCCCACTGGGTGGAGGGAAGCCTTGGCTGCTGGCAGTCACCTCTGACACACCTGGGGAGAGCCCCGCTAAGAAGGGAGCTGACAGAGAGGGAAGCAGAGTTGAAACCCTGGAGAAACCCCACATCACCTAGACTTTTCAGTGACGTGAGCCAGTTAACTCTCTTTTTGTTGAAGGCCATTTGTTTTGGGCTGGGTGCTTATTATTTGTAACCAAGAGTCCAGATTGACAAAATTATCACAATGTGAAGGATTCCCCTTTTGAAGGTGTTCAGGAAGCTCTTACAACTCATCCCCTGGGCTGACTTGTCACTCAGTGCTGACCTTTCTCCCTGACCGTGTGGGCATTTCGGGTCACCGGCGCAGTGAGCTTGGCAGCAGTCTGAGGGGTGGCCCTTACCTGCATGTTGTTCCAGGCAGCCTCCCCACGGCCCCGGACACAGCTCTCCAGCTTCAGAGGGGATCCCAGCACCCCGTGCTTTGTGTCTGCACACAGCCCTGTGCCCACATTGCGAACCTGGATGAGAAAGAAGGGAAGAATGGACTAGCGATACCTTGAGATGGCCACCTGGGCCCTGCTGGGGTTGGGGGAGAGAATCGAAGCCAAGGCGTGAGAGGGGCTGAGTCCCGGATCGTGTCCATAGAGCTTGCCTTGGGCCAGAGGGAGAGCCTTGGGTCTCCCAGTAAAGGCAGCCTCAGTCCATGGAGAGCAGCATCTCTCAACCCTGCTCTGTCTTAGAGTGTGAAAAGTCATAGGGGGGTGGTGGGGGGCTAGAGTGAGGACTCCTGTTCCACTCCCAGAGAATCGGATCCAGTGGATCCAGGAACTGAACTGCCCCCACTCCAGGTGACCCAGGAAATTTCCACACCCCGGAAACCATCCTAGAAAAGGGCCCAACAGCTTTGCTGTAGGATCTTGGACTCTGCCTTTTAGGATGCCCGAATGGCAAGAGGTGGTGGAATGCAAAGAGCAACAGTGGTCTTGTTAAGATGGGTGTGGTGTTGGGGGAAGGACACTGAGGCAGGGGGAGGGCATCAAGGTCCAGGCTGCGCATGGCTAGCCTGCCCTTCCCCGGGCAGGCCCTGTGCTCAGGGCCACCTCGGCACTGACGGGCGGCTGTTTTGACTGAAGGGTGGGGGTCCATCTGCAGCAGGTCCGACTGCCTAGCTGCTCTGTCCTGAAGCCACTATTGTGACTGAGAGGAGGCCGTACTTCCCGTGGGTTGCTTCCAGCCAGGAGCTAGGGGACGCGGGGATACCAGCACAGGCCCATTCCTGGGGACGCCGCACTCCTCTGGCAGCAGACTTGGCTTGGAACTGGTTCTGGGGCCAGGCTTCCTGGGAGCCTCGCCCGGGAGCCTGGGGCCTTCTCCCTCCCCTCTCCTGTCCCAGGGGCTGACGCCCATGGTGTCCCCCTCCTTGCCCTGCTCCCTTCCCATTTCTTCTCTCAGGTGGTTCCCCAGGTCTCTTCTTGGTGTCTAAGCCCATCTTGGAGTCTGCTTCTTGACAGACTTGAACGAACACAGGGAAGAACGTCAGTAAACTGGCAAAGAGACAAGTGCTTCATGAGGGAAGTCAACGCGATACAGCGTCTGGAAGACCGAGCAGGTATGTGCGGGGCTAGCACACAGCCTAGTCAGGAAAAGGCCCTTTGGCTTGCAGTGTGAATTTGAAAAGGTGACATCTGGGGTTTCTGCCAGCCCAGCACGCTTCTCTCTCCTCCCTCTGGGGACACCACTAGGGCTTTCCATGGGGCTGTGGCTCTTTGCCCGCCCTGTGGCCTGCCGGGTATCCATCCTTCCCTTGTGTCCCCCTCCCTCCAATGTCACGGTGAGCGTGCAGATCCAAGAAGACTCGATCCTGGGACCTTGCTGGCTCTACTGGGGAAGAGGCATAGGCTTTTGCTGGGTTGGCCAAGCTGAGGGTTTGTCAGCCTGAAGTGTCTGGAAGCAGCCTGCTATCCTCAGCATGAGGTCAACACACAAGGAAGTAGAGTTTAGCAGGACAAAAAGAGGCTGAATCATTTGTGCCCTGCACCCTGCGTTAAGGTCCATCTGAAGCCACGGCCATCCAGGGCTCCCAGGAGAATCAACACAGTGCCCCCTTCTCACTCTCAGCTGGACTCTGCCACCTGCAGCTGCAGGAGACCCGACTCTTGCTGTGCTCCCTCTGCCCTTGCTGCAGTACGCCCGTCTGGACGTGAGTAGGTGCTCCCGGCTTTGAGGCCCGGGGCCAGGACCCAGTGAGGGAGGGCTTCTCCCAGCAAGACTGTCTGCCTCATCTGGCAGGACTCGCTTCACGGGTGTGCGACAGTGGCCCAGGGCCCCGGATACAAAGGGCCCGTGCTTGGGCCAGAGCAAAAGCTCTGCTATTACTGTCTTAGAATGTTGAGTGATTTTATCTTTGGCTTTGTAAGTGGAGTTTGATGGGCCAGTGAAGCATGCGTGTGAGTAGAGGGATACACGCTGTGGAGCACCTGCGGGTCCCTTCTACTGCCTTGCATGTGACATCTGTGATGCCCCCCAACATGCCCAGAGTTCCAGGGTCCCAGGTGCATGGGAGTGCAGTGCAGCATGTGTGCAGGCAGGTGTGTCCCATCTGTGACTAGGTGGGGTGCGGGCAGATATGAAGGCCATGCTTTTCTTTCTAACCAGAACCTGCTTCGGCTGTGCATCGAAGGGTGATGGCATTCTAAGACACAGGAGGGACTGAGGAGCTGTCACATCCTTTTTCACCCATGTCACTTTCCTGGATTAGCCAAGCACTTAAAGCAGCAGATAACACAGAAGGGAAGGAAGGGCGGGGCAAGCCACAGTCCTTTCCTTCAGAGCTCCCTCACTGGTCACTAAGGGGAAGGCGGAGAGCACCGGTAGCAAGTGCAAGCGGTCGTGACATACACACAGCTGAGTGAGTTTGTGCAGTGCTTCTACTCTTCTGACGTAAGAAATACATGTTCACATACAAGGGTTGCAGTACAGGTCGTGGAATTTCCCCGATTCTGCATGAGTTAAATGCTCTTCTCTGTGCATTTAAAACCAGCACTGCATAATGTAAGGATGAATGGTCAAATTCATGCTAATAAAGTAATTTTTCTCTACTCAGAACATTAAATAGCAAATAACAAAACACCATGACAGGCTAGAGAGAGACCAGGAAAGAAGGGAAAACGGTTTATATTTTACACCTCAAACGGCGCTGTTCTTCTGGCTTGTGAACAGGGGTCCACATGTGCACTTGCTCTGGGCCCCAATTACCCAGACGGCCCTGCCTTCCGGACTCACCTCCCCCCAAGCTGCGGCCGGGGGCTCCACGGGTGGGTAGAATCTGGGCAGGTCCCAGGCGATCTTGGTCATAAACCACTTGAAACTCTTGCAGTTAAGGCTGCTGCGGAGCTGCTTCTGGGAGGCCACGTCCCCGGCGGACAGGTGGCGGTACTCCGGCCGGCGCTGGTAAATGTGCTCGGCATACTCATCCATCCACACCTCCGCCACTCGCTTCAGGTTCTGCAGGGCGACAGGCAGGGGAAAAGGTCAGGGTCCCCAAGGAGCCGAGGCCAGGGTATGGGGTGGAAAGGGTCCTGGAGGCTGAGGTAGATCTTTCTCATGTTGCATCAGAGACCCTGGCCCCACCGTGTTTTAAAGCCTTCTCTATGTCTATTTATTACTTACGTATGTTTTAAGGACTCTGCAACCTAAGGCTAATAGACTGCTATAGTTTTGCCTGCCCACCTTCTATCCCTTCTTTTTCTCCCAATAGCGTCCCTTCAGTTTTCCTCTGGGGACCCATCTCTGCTTCACTGCTACTTCATGTGGCTTGAGGAAAGGCACGTGACCCAGCCTGGCTAATGGGAATACAGACAGCCCTGGATGCAGGGATCAGTCTGGGCATGGGACCTAAGCCAAGCCATTCAGAATCAATAGGCATTAGCCCTGTAATTTTTGCTGGAGCCTGGGAAGATCTGATGGATAAGATGCCAGCCAGAACTGCTGGGCCATATGGAAAGCCTGTCTGGGGTTGAAATCAATGCACAATGAAGCAGAGCTGAGTGCTAGAGTGAGGAACACATTCCTCCTTTTAGCACCCTAAACCAGCCATGTTTAAACCAGAATGGCCTCAGGGCCTTCCACTGATATGCATCAGGAAATCCTCCTTCTGCTCAGGCCAACTTGAGTTGGGCTTCTGTCATTTCCAACTAAGGGTGCTGACCAGGTTGCATGGGAAAAACAAATTATAATCAAATTGTAATTTGCAACCAGAAGGTATAATTTCCTCAGAAGCTGGAATTTTTAATAACCCTTTGAGGCATGAAGGTTGCTGCTACTTTTATTATAAGGATAATCCATAAAAAAATGACAACCACATTATTGGAAGTAGAGGCAGCAGATGAGAACATGTCCTGTTTGTGAGCAGACTTGGAGACAGAGGAAAAGTAAATTTTTCTGTGTAACTGTGAGAAAAATTACTCATTCCATCTGCATTGTAGATACCATGGCTGAGAACCTCCGACAGCTGGCTCTGGAAGCGTACAACTTCAGGGTTTATGGAAAACTTGCTCCATGACATCTCTCTCCAACCCCTGGATGTTGTCAGAAATCCCCTCCCACAGTTTAACTCTCCAGGTTTTATCTCTATCATAAAGGACTTTTTTCCTACAAAAATTTTCTTTTGAAGGGTAAAAGGGAGTTAGCACTTTAGGCTGTTATCAAGTCATTCACACCTCAGTATAAATGCTGGCTCCAGAAGCAGAAATAAGGTAGGGGTCCTGCTGGCAGTTCTGTAAAGGGCCGGGACAGTAAATACTTTAGGCTTTGCAGACCATATGGCCTGAACTCCGATGTAGCTGTAAAGCAGCCATAGATAGTATGTAAACAAATGGGTGTGGCTGTTTGCCAATAAAACTTTATGGACAATGAAATTTACTTTTCATGTGTCACAAAATATTCTTCCTTTGATTTCCTCACCCTCCACCCTCCCCATCCAACTATTTAAGATTGTAAAGACCATTCTTAGCTCATGGGCCACACAAAAACTGTTTGCCAACTCCTAAGCAAGGAGGGAGGAAACCAACAGGAGGGATCCCACACTGGCACCATAGACACAATTCACTAGCTCCTTAACTTTGCTGGCCCTGAGTTTGGGACTAGGAAGCCATGGGATTTCCCTCTCACTGCCTTGTTCTTCCTGAATGCTGAAGAGGTGGACAGTGGGTCAGAACACAGTTCAGGAACAGTGTTAGCCCTGCCAGGCCCCTGCAAGGCAAAGGCTGGGTTAATTTAAAACTGTGCCCAGGGGAAGCTGAAGGCCTACACAGGCATGCACACCTGAACACCCCCTTTCCCAGTCTACACACCCAGGTCCTGCAGCTCACTGTCTGATCTGCTCATGCCACAGGGATAATGAGAAACCACGGTGGTTTTCTCTCTGACCACAGGCAACAGTGGCAACTTGACCAAGGAAAGGTGCCAAAGTTCACCAGTGTTATTCTTAAGAGGATCAAATCATATCATATTTTAATCAATACTTAAATTACTATTTTAATGAATATTGCATTTTCCAGACATGGATTAATAAGCCATTCTGCCCAGATCTTGAACTTTTGTATAGCTGAACGTCGGACAAAGTACAGGACTTTACACTTATTTCCCTTACATGTCCCCTTGCTGGAGTCATGAAGAGGCCTCTGGGATTCAGCGGGTTGTGTGCCCTCATCCCTATTCCTAACACTCTCCTGGCTGCGGGTCCCAGCCCTGACTGAGGCGCTCCTGCTCTTCTGGGCCTGGACTGCAGAAATGTCTGGGCCTGGACTGTTGTAGTAGGTCTCCACTTTTGCTTTTCAAGTTAGAGTAAGTTTCTGTTACTGCCTGCCCCGGGACCCCTTTCCCAGAGGCAGAGACAAAAAGGGTTAAGCAAATTTGATAAACAAATTAAGAGCAGTCACTTGTTTTTGAGGCAGGCAAGCTGAATGGCTGTTTCACGCTATCTGGCTGTTTGGTCTTCTGGAGTCTGTACAACTTTAGGAAGACTTTAGTTTCCCTCTTTATCTGGTGCTTTCACGGCTCTTAGAATTCTATCTCTCCTCAAATCTACTAAAATGATGTTCTAGGAGATAATTTTCTAGAAGGATTTGGTTGCTGAAACACTAAGAAACATTTAAAATGTGATCTGCAACTAAACAACGGTAGATACTATGATAAAAAGTCAGGAAAGCTTGATGCAGGCATCCTTGTGGTCTTGCAAACCCCCACAGGGCACCACTCAGATTGTTCACTGCTTTGAAGTCACCAGGAGAGTGATTCAGTACAAGCAGGTAAAACAGAAGTTAATACGTTTAAACACAGAATTTAGATGAGACATTGGAATAACTTCCCAGTCTTGATAATATTGATGCTGATATTAACACTGACAGTAGCGGTAGCAGTCACTCTTTAAAGAACATTTGCTCTGTGCCAGGCACCAGTCAGACCTAAGTGGGTTTGAATTCTGATTCTAGTTAATGTGTCCCTGTTTCATTTTCCTCATGTCTACAGTGAGGATTAAAACCAAGCTAGATCAAGTAAGGTAAATATGTAAGATGCTTTCCTTGATGCCTAACTCACAGGAAGTGTTTATAGGTTACTACAGTTAGTTATTACCCGCCAATTCGGCCATGTTTCAGTAAACAGGTGGTGGTACTACCTCTTTGCCAGGCCAGTCTTATAAAATAACACCTCAGGTTTGGGAAAGCACGCTTCGGGAACGGTCCTGCTCAGGGGTCAGAGAAGTCCCCAGCGTCCCACTGGAATCTAGTAGCTGGAGAAGTCAGTATTGGGCTCACCGAGCACCTCTGCGCTGTTTCCCTGCCTGGCACTTACCTCTGGGATTGCCAGTGGTTATTTCAGCAGAGATAACGGTTCTCGCCTTTCCTGCTTGCTGACTCTAGAACAGGCTCCCCGCCCCCCGCGTCAGATGCGGCTGTCGTTGGAATGTTCTACCACTAGAGGGCACTGCCGGCTCTCTTTTCCCTCAACACTGCGCACGGCAGCCCCGGCCCTCCGGAGCTCAGCTGCGTCTTCCCGCCGCCCAGTCTTCCTTGTAAATTGCAGGGCAGGTGCTCTCCCGGGACCCGAGGGCTGCTGCTAGACACGGCGCGTGGCACTGTCAGGTGATCAGGTCCGGGCAGATGGAGGCTATGTGCACTGACGCCAAACAGTACCCACTGTGGTTTGGTATCAGAGGGGCCTCCACTGGGTGGCGGTGGCGGCCTCCACGGGGCAAAGCTGTGCAGCTGACCTTTCAGCTTCCCCCAGACCTGACTGTGCTCCACTTTACCCTCTGGGGACCCCCACTCTCTTCGTTTTTCTTTTGCAATCACTTTGATTTTTTTTTTCTCAAGACAACATTTCAAAACTTATTGTTAAGGTTTAGTGAAATATCATTAATACATAACAAAAAACCCTCTGGCTAACAGATTTCCATTTGTAGCCAGTGACCAATTTGATTCAAGCAATGATTAATACAAACCACTTTAAGGCAATGAAATAGTGTGACAGAATTTTTGGTGACGACAGTGGGGAGGGGGTGGGGAAAAGAGAAAGACACATTTATTAACCACCCCTGTGCCAGGAAACGTTCAAGTTATCTTGTCTCAGGCTTTCTCAAACACATCATTCCGCCTATATCAATATTTATCTAACATGTTTCTTTAAATCACCCCTGGTCTAACTCTGCACCTACTTGAGTTTTAAAAAGTAGTATCTGTGAAATCACAAATCTGCTGCATTTATAAACACTGATTTCTAATCCATGTTAATTTAAACATATGTAAAAATGTTCCTATGCCTACCACCTAAAATCAACTTGTCCATCACACTTTGGGAAACTGCCTTATCTCCTTAACTCACCTGGATGCTGAGTTGGAAAAAATTAGCTTCCTGTAAGCAAGGGGGAAACACAGGTTCAGAGGAGTTAAGCCATTATCTCAAGGTCACACAGCTAGAAGGTGGCTAAGCAGGGCTGTAAGCAAGCTTTTAAATTGGATTTCACCTGGAGAGTGGGGGGTGGCAGCTGGGATGGGGCAAATCCTTACATCCTAACAAGGGATCACTTGGCCTGGGGTCCCGGTGCCTGCCTCTGCTCTGCTATGGGCCCAGGCCAACCTCCCACCCTCCAGAGAAGCCACCACCTTACCCTGGCCAGGCTGACTCCTGCAGGGACCTTGTAGGGTACATACTTCCTGTAGATATGGCCCACCCTGGAGCAGGGGATGTCCTCCATGCGGCCCCCACACATCCACACCTGCAGAATAACAAGGGAGAGAGAAGGCGATATTTATGCCTCTAATTTACTGTCCCATCCTTAGTGCATTGATCGAAAGCATCAGCTTGGATTGTGTACTATATCCCCCTGCACAGAACTAGGGAGAATGAGAAACATGGTATTAACAACGGCAGTAAAAATAGCTGGCAGCACCCCACGCTCACTCATTGCCAGACACTATGCTGCGAACGCCACATGCACAACTGCCTTTATGCCTCATCAGTAAACCTATAAAATAGGTAGTAACAGAGCTCCACTTTACAGATGAAGAAACCCAGGTGCAGAGAGGCTAAGGAGCTTCTGTAAGATCACAGGCTTAGGAAGGGGAAGAGCAGAATTGAAAGTTGGCTTAGCTAACTCGAGTCTGAGCTCTAAACACCTATGTGCTTGGAGGGCTGTGTTGAGAATTCTGAGGTGGCATCAGGGGTCAGTGAGCTAGACTGGTGATCACTTAGTGGAGTCTGCCACACGTATGAGGGGATAAGGTGGCACACAGGCTCCGTACATTTACTGAGTGTGGCATTAGATTCTGGAGTGTCCTTCGGGAGCTTACCAGCTGCTGGCTGGGTGGTGGCCTCCCTGCCCTGGCCTCTCTGTCATCAGGCTTGCAAGCCACACAGCTGGCTATCCCTGCAGGGAGGCATCTGATGCTTCTCCTGCGTCTCTCTCCATATCTGGCACCACAAAGTGCTCCTGAGTCTGACTACACAGGTCTGACAGCAATTTGGGAATTCTCTAAGTACAGTCAATGCTGACTCATACCCGCTGAAGTGCCTGGCCTAAACAGACCCTCCTTAGCAGTTCTGAGTTCAAATTCTGACTCAGCCACTTACCAGCTTCGTGATTTTGACCAAGGTACTTAACTTCTCTGAGGCTCAGATTCCTCATCTGTAAAGGATTAAATGAGGGGGGCCGAGGGGATGAGATGCTGCATGTAAAGTACATAGCACAGGATGTGGCACACAGTCACAGCCGCGGTACATACTCTAGTGACTAAATCAGACATTTGACTAGTAGTTACAGAGTATCTGTTACATAGCAAACCTTGTGCCAGGTACATACAGCAGTGAAAGCTGGCCAGGGCCCCTGCTCTCACGGAGGGGGAGTGTGGTGGCCAGCCTCCCGTACAGCCCATGACCCCTGCCTCCTGGAATCTGTACTGTTATGCAGTTCCCTCCCAGATGAGTCACATGAGGACTGACCTGAGTAACCAATAGGACACTGTAGAAATGATGGTCATAAAGGTCTGTGGCTTCCACCTTACTCCCTGGGATCACTTGCTTTGGGGCAGCCCTGTGGAGAGGTCTGGGTGGTAAGGAGGTGAGGCCTCCTGCTGATAGCGCCGAGTCACCAGCCACAGGGGTGAGCCACCTTAGAGGGGGCCCTCCAGCCCCAGCCCACCTTCAGGTGAGAGCAGCCCCGACTTCAGCCGCATGACAGACCCAAGCAGAGCTCTCCTACTAAGCCACTCTGGACCCACACAAACTTTAAGATAGTAACTCACTACTGGTTTAAGATGCCATGTTTGGGGTAATTTTTCCTTTGGCAGCAGAGAACTAACACAGAGTGAGTTTCAGATGGTGATGCGTGCTCTACAGAAGCCAAAGCAAGGCGACTGGACAGCCTCCCGGTGTGGGTGTACGGGGTGCTACACTGCCCCCCAGCTGGGGTGCCTCCCTCAGATGGGAGCATGTGAGGTGATGTGTGCATGATGAGACGGGAAAAAGTAACATAAAGATCTGAGGGTGAAAGAACAGGTGGAGAGAAGAGCAAGTGTAAAGGCCCTGGGGAAGGGCCAGCCTTGGCATCGTCACAGAACAAAGCAAGCCAGGGCCTGGAGCAAGTGGAGGGTGCAGCGCCAGGATGGGAAGTCCAGAGGTGAGCCAGGACTATGATAAGGGACTCGCATGGCAGAATGAGGAGTTTTCACGCAAAGTCTTCAGTGAGGGAGACAATGTGATCCAATTTCTATTTTACAAAGATGACTCTGCCTGTGGAGTGGAGGACAACCTGGAGGGCACTGGCTTGGGGGGCGGGGGGCTGTGACCGTGGGACACAGCTTGGTTTGGGACATTATTATTAATCTCGTATTCCCTCATCTGTGAATGAGGAGTAGAGTGGGAACATCTACAACCCTGATTCTGCGCACAAGAGCCTTTCTCAGCTTGTATTGCTTAGTGGGATCGTAGGGGTTTGACTTAATGTCTTAACTAATTCTGGAGCTCTAGAAAGGCTGCTCTTCCACTACATGCATCTGGTGGTCCTCTGTTCTCACTCCTCTCCCCCTTCTCCCCTCCACCAGCCACTGTCTTCACCCCACCACAGATGTACTCTGTCCCCGCGCTTCCTGCAAGGGGATATGCATGGGGCTGCAATTAGTGGAAGTGCTGCCTGGAGAAATGCAATTATATTCTGATCTTGGGGGAGAAAAAAATTGACAAAGTCAATAGAACAGAACATTGGTCTCAAGATAATGGGCTCCTGATAGTGGATTAATGTCAAGGCCAAGCCAAGAAGTTTATTTTCAAAGCAGGAGATATTGATCAGGCGCCAGCATCCCATAACAATAACTCTTCCTTTATACAAAGTGATTGATGTGGAAGCGATGCTTTTGTCTGGCAGATATTGCCCAGGTCGTTGCTGGGCTGCCCCTGCCTTTTGGGAGGCAGAGCTGTGCTGAGCAGGTGGGGGACACCTTACCCTTCTCTAATTTTGAAACTCTCCTGGGCAGTTGACTAGGCAGGCGTTCAGCTCCCTCAACTTCATATTAAACTCACATTCGCTAAAGAGGCTGTGTTTCCAGCTCTGCCTGGCAGGGAACCTTCCTTTATGCAGATAATCAATTTCCAGATCCTTCTCTGTGGCCTGACCTCTGATTTCTTTGGCCCTGATAACACTGGCCATCAGTCTGAAGGCTCCTGAGGGACCAGGGTGACCTTGATCTGCTGAGAGGTTTGAGGCACCCAGAATGCCCTCAGATTCCAGGGATGTCCAGAGCCCAGGAGTCCTGGCTTTGCTCAGTGGCTTCCCTGCCCTGGACATGATTCCCTGACAGGTGACTGAGAATGTGCAGTGCCTTCAGAGGCAGCCCCCATGCATTTGACACTGCTGCCAACTCCTGAGTCCTCGGGAGCCTGTGAGAAGGACTCAGAGAGGGAGGGGGCAGCCAGCTCTCCAGAACTTCCTCTGGTATGTTAAGCGGTGAGCATCCCCCGTGGCGTTTGCTGGTTACCCGGCAGAATCCCAAGACTGGAGGGGACTCTCCTTCCAGGGCCACGATAAAAGCGGGAAGCCCAGAAGGGTGCCAAGGCTGGTCCTGGGCCAGGCAGCTGGCCGGGGCTGCTCCTGGATCCCAGGCCCCACGGTTGTGGTCACGGCCCACGTCACCTCGCTGTGTACCCTCAGGGCCCCTTCCCATGCCCCGTCTGTGACAGCTGTGGCAGCAGCCACACAAGACCCATGGCAACCGTGGTGTGGCGGTTGTGAGCACACACTGCTCTGCAGTCCCAGTGCCCCCTGTGCAGCTGTGTGACCTGGTGCAAGGTATTCACCTGGGGGGCACACTCTCATCTGTGACCTGAGGGTGGCAGTCACTGCCACCTGGCAAGGTTGCTGAGATGACGTGGCACAACCTGCGGGTAGCCCTTAGCTTGATGCCTGGCCACAGTAACCCAGATTAATATTGGCCATTTCTGTGTGCAAAAGGATGAGAAATACCACCATCTTGAAATTACCCAGGATTTGCCCTTTTGTCCAATACCATCATGATTTTTATCTTATGGCCCAATTTCCCAAATGGAGAAACTGAGGCTCAGAGAGATGAAGTAGTTTTTCTAACAGACTTGGTGGGAGAACCTACAACAACCAATCAGGAGCCCCGGGGCCAGCTGGGGTGGGGCACAGGCATGGGGCAGCTGCAGTGCCAGCAGTGGGCAGATCACGTTTGGCTGGGACCCATCACACTTGGATGGGGACAAATACAAGCCACTGAGATGACACTTTTGCAGCCCTTCTCTGCTGCCAGCTTTCTTCCCTCCGTCGCCGTCCATCCCCTGCCCAGCTCCACCCACCGTGGGGCATGCACTGCCTGCTCTGGAGCCTGGGCATTCCACCACAGGGCCGCAGACATACCCCCTCAGATCCGTTCCCCTGAGCCCCAGTCGTCTCAGGGAAGCACCATGCCACTAGGCAAGTACAAATCTAATTGTAAAAGCTTGCTCTCCATTCATTTTCATTGCTGCTTTGATTTATTTTATTAGCAAACTTCTTTTGTGTGATGACAGGCTTCATTAGAGTGTCTATAAAAGACAATTACTCGCTCTTATCTCCTAAACTGAGGAGAAAAGAAATGAGTGGTGATGTGCATCAGGAAGACACAATGGGGCCCGGAGCGAGAGCCATGTATGGGCCTGTCCTGGGCCGGGAACATGAGTCAGCAGGGCTGGGCAGAGCCCTCCTCAGGGAAACAGCTGCCTGGAGACTGGCCGGGAGTGGGGCGGCCAGAGAGAGGAGGGCACCCAGCTATGGCTTTTGTGTTGGTGTCTTGGCTGAGGACCCCTGTGGAGTTCAAACCCTGTTCAGTTGCACTTGGAAGAAATAATATGATGATAATGATCTGATTATTCTGCATTATCTGCATGCTTTGGATGTGCATAGGGGTAGCTGTTATGAGCTCGGTTCTGGAGTTAGAACTGAGGTCTAATCCAGGGTTTTAAGTATGCTTTGGGAGCCTGAAAGCCTCAGTTTCCTCATCTGCAAAATGGGATGAATTGGTATGTCTACCTCCTAGGGTTGTGGTGAGGCTGGGGAGGGGGTTCTGAGGCAATCTGTGTGGGGTCACCTGGGTACATGGCAGCTGCTGGTAATGGTGGGGGTCACGGCATATGTGCCATGCAACTCCCCACAGAAAAGAATTGGCCTATAGCTGTGTCTTCCAGAAGTTCATGTTATTTTCCATATATTAGTTCACTTTAAATAGT